GTGTTTCGTTGTTACTTGAGGTAATTATTCGAAATTTTCACTAATTAATCTTAATGCTGTTGCATTTTTCCTCGGCCACGAGCCTTTGTCGACGACTCGGTTATGAGAAACGGTTGGATATCTTGCAAATTGCCCGATTTATCTCGCCTCCTCGGCGAGGTTCTACGCGTGTTTGCGGTCCGCCTAGCGTTTAATCGATTCTCGATGGGAATTGTTCGAAGTTTGAAATTGGGGGTGGAGGCAATTCGATTCGAATTTTCCCGATAGGATTTCTGGTTTGTTGTGTACTTAAGAAGGCAACTCGAGCGAATTATTTTACTGTACTACTTTTCGTCGAAAGATGGTGGTTTACGGTGCGATCGTTTAGATTTTCAATTAGCTTAGATAGAATTGAATTATAACGATCTTCAGAAACGTGATAAAAATGGCAATTTGTTGGAATGTTGCATTGGAATGTTTTAATATTCGAGTCTCTAAAAAGTTAAGATTATTTTTTTGTATTTCACAAATATTATACTTTGGATATTTCCAATTTATTTATATATATATAAGAAATGATTTTTTCTCTCGTTTTTCACAAGCCAACGAACCAGCGAGTAATTATCGAATTAATTAAATAAATTAAATTTAATAAATTAAAAAATTATAAAATAACAAAAGAATTAGATCACACATTGTCCTAAAGAGGATCAAAAGTAACAATACGAACATATGTATCCCATTTAGAGGTATTGAAAGAGTTAAGAATATCGTGTTTCCACGCAGTATTAATAATATTCTTGACGTATCTTTGAACCATCGATTCGAAAGATTAAAAATAAATACAAAACTCGATGTATTTATCCCCCTCGCCTCAGTCTAACGCTTCAATCGTTCGTAAACAAATCCGATATTCAACTGGTGCAACAATTATTTTCTTCTTGTTTGTTTTGGAATCGATCCTCCAAAACTCGTGCCACGAATATCGTTAATTATCCTTATTCGATTACTATGGTCGAGAAATAATTCATAGATATCGAAAAACCTTTCCATCAGGTGGAAGGGTGATTACACCGTTAACCGAGGGGAGGGAGTCGAGTTTCTTTGAGAAACGAGAAGGGAAAATCGTTCTTTGACAATCAATGCTTTTCCACGGGGAAACACTTTCGAGAGCGCTCGAATTCGGAATGAATTTCAAGGGAACTCGTTATTTGTAACGAGATATTGCGCCTCCGACAGGTCAACGATTCTCGTTTCGTCGATTCGATCGATATCGGGCGAAACTTTATACGACCTTTTTTTTAATCCTACGTAATATTCGCTTTCAAGATTTATCTCGTTCAATCTGTATTCGTGATTTAAGAAATTAATTGTTCGAAAGACACGAAACTTATTAATTCGATATACTGTGTTTTAAATTCTTCTTGATTCATGTTATAATAGTTTTTTAATAGGGTTGTGAATGGCGAACGAGTTTATTGTTCGAATCTCGTTCTCACACGTTTCTCCATCCTGAGTCTCTCAGGGAAAGTTGTTTGGTTTTCGAGCGGAAACGTGGTGAAAATTGAATCGACATCCCCTGGCACGACCACGTTTCGTCATTTCCGACGTTTCACCCCGTGTCCAGGCGAATTAATGCCTTGGAAAATAAGATCTCCCCTTACTCGCTATCTCGAGGAATCCACGTCGTCGGGACAAACTTCCGGAATCAGTAGACGATTTCCGGTTTTTCATTTTTCCACACTTCCCTTCTCTCCCCCTCTTTCATCCTGACTTTCCATCACAGTTCTTGGAAGTTCTTTCATCGTTTTCCAATCGATCTACCGATCAAACCGATACCACCTTTTCCCTTCTCCAAGCCAAACAATTTGCCATAATTTTCTTAACGACGAAACAATCTAACGTCTAAATACAAAAACAAAAAGTTCTCAATTTTTCTCTTTCGAAAGAAGGAGATGTAAAGGAAGGATTCCCGGTTTAATTTAAAAAAATAAAATAAAATAGATCGCAAAAGATTTCGAGGAGGAAGACGACATACGACAAATTGTCGCTAAAATGAATCATTCTACCATAGTTGGTCTCGGAGAGAACACGACTTCCTCGTATTATAATATGGAACAGATTCAACGCAGAGAAATTGTTATTCTTAGAAACTACCAAGAAACTGCCTTATACACACACATATACGTGCATTCCTCGATAAATAAATTTCCTGTCCCCGCTTCTTCGAATAATATAATAATACCGTAACCCACACCTTTCTGAATCGCGCACCTTCTCAATCCGCGTAACACACTGATCCAAACTATAAATACGCGGAATCAACGAAATGTCCACACCGAGTACGCGTTCATAATTCCGTTTGGTCCGTTTAATCCGCATCGTTTCGCAAAGCGACCGCGAAAGTCGCACGCTCCACGAATGCATATACATATATATATATACATATACATATATACATATATGTATAAAGTCAATCAGGAACAATGTATTCCGGACGGGGTGTTAGAACGAATTCCAACGAGCAACGATCGCGCGTCGATCGATGATCCAACGATACACGCGCCCGATACGTGCACGATCGTGTGGCATTCGCAGAATTTGGCAACGGCGATCTGCGATTCCGTGTGCCAAACTCTCGACCCATTTAGCCAGTCACGAGAGCCACCCGGACACTCTCGATATCGGGACGATAGTCGGTTCGATCGATTTCAATCGGACAGAAGATTCGACCCGTCTCCAGATATTGATCCCTGATCCTGTTCTGGGAAGAGGAATAATATCCTCTCGAAAGATCGGAGTCTTGTTCGAAGGAAGATTCGTGGTTTCGAAAGAATATTTCATGTCACGGAATTATATATCGTTTGATATTTTGGTTGGCTGTCTTCTTTTCTTTTAGTTTTAATTTTTAAACGTGTGCGAAGGCTGTTTCGTGAATTTAATAGTAGTTTTGGAATGGTTTGAGATGGTTCGAAGTGTTTGAAAATTTCGTTCTTATCGATGATGACATTTTAAATGGTAATTATTCGATGATACTTCCTTTTTGTAAGTGGAATTGCGGAAGGAGTTTGCAATAGTTTGAGACAGTTTGAAGAGCTTATATAAGATTCTTTTCTTCGTTGCGAATATAAATTATACTCTGTTTTTATATACAATTTAATTACACGGAATATAATATTTGGGATCGGTTCGACACCAACCATTCTTGGTTCGATTCGTTCTGAAATTAAATTTTCGAACAGGAACGAAATCTCGAGATATCCCTCCGATCCCACCCACCCTCTCGATCCATCCCCATTATCGACGAGACAACACGATGTACCACGAGAAACACGAGTCTCCTCGATCGAACGAGTCTATCTCTCAAGATAAGCAATAAATTTCTCTCGGCTCGACGATGATGAATCGTTCCCATCTTGAGCGTGGGGGAGAAAAAAAAAAGCCGAAACCAAACTCCCCTCCAAGACGACTGTGCGAGCACACTCGGCGTGTGATCGATCGATCGATCGATCGACGGACAGACGGACGGATGGATCATGATGAACGGCATCGGCTTCGTTGCGACACGGTTCCATGGAACCACGATGGTCGACTAAGCCGTCGTGGATGCAACGGTTCTTCATCCCGCAACCGCTGTCCTCGAAAGTGGATCGATAGGTCCGCGCCAGCGTACTGAAACCTTCCTTCCTTCTCTTCCTTCTTTCGTCTCGCCCTTTTTCTCCATTTTTCTCTCTCTCTCTCTCTCTCTGTCTCTCTCCTTTCTAGCGCGGTCATCAAGTTCGGATGCACGCCACGCGGATGCACGCGTTTCGACGATCGATTCAGAGCGTTGAATCCGCATCAGCTTGCACGCGCGCGTGTGTATGTGGATTCTTCTCCGAAGATGAGAGAGTGATGTGGAGATGGTGTTTGATAAGTTTGCGTTTTCTTCGCGAAAATGGGGGAATGGATGATTGGATATATGGAAATTCGAAATTGTTCTTTTTTTTTTTGAAAATTTTTGGAAAATAAGTAGCAACGGTATTAATTATTGGATTATTTAATATTTTAAATTCGACGTTAATTCTTAGATCTCGTGTATTCTTCTTTCCTATTTAAGAGGAATAAGAAATAAGAAACTTTTAATTAGAAAATTTTACTTTTATTTTCAAATGTTTTTGCCGAAGTTTTTTTTTTTTTTTTTTTAGTATAGGTAATATTAAACTTAGAACGGTGAAATATTCACTGGAGAGTGAAACTTTTGAGACTCGTCGAATCGAGTCATTCGTGAAAAATATTTTCGAGAGCAATATTTATTCCCAAGTACATCGTTATCGTCGTATTTTTTATTTATTGTATACACTTAACGGATATTACTTACGAAATTCAATCGTGGATTGATAAAAGAAATACTAATAAATAATTAAATATCGTTAAATATCGTTGACACGATGATAAACTTTGGGAAAAATAGTTACGAATCGTGGCGACCTAATTTACGCATCCTCACCCCGTTCAAAATCAGGATGATCAAACAAAGTTTGCCCGATATTCCATTAGCTCTTCCCTTCGCGAAACTTAACCTGGAAAAATGGGCTAACACTTTGGCACAAATTGAAAATTCCCGATAACCAGGTCGGTCACGTTTCCGTCGATTTTCGTTGCACAATTTTACGAGGCTTTAATGCAGCTTATGAAATTGAAGTCAGCTCGAAACGTGAGTTTTATTCGGATCCGATGTCTTCTCGTCGAACGTTCAAACGTTGATGGACGTCCTTCTTACAGGATCTTATTTCCTCGAATAAAAGGAGAGTTAGTCGTTGTTTCTGAAAATATGTAACACGTTTCGATTCTATTCTCGATCGAATATGAAAATAAGATCTACATCTCAAATTTTGTCATTCTTTTTTTTCTTAATTTTAAAATTCGTTGCGTCGAGAATAAAATAACCGCAAAGAGTTACTTTACTTACTGAAAATAAATTCGAAAACATTTCTAAAAAGCGAAAGATGAAAAAAAAGAACAATAGGTCCATAGGCGTTCGAAGGATCGTTGCGTTTTTCATTCGTGAAAATAACACCAAACCCTTCCCTTTTAATTAACCGCAACGTTTCCAACCGAATATAAAACGCATCTGCCATCCTAATTTCCCTTTGGCCGAGAGAAAACGGGAACAATTTGCGGCCAACGTTTATTCGTCAAAAAGGTTGAAAATTTTGCCAAATTGCCGCGTTCCACGATGGTGGAAATATTCCGTACCGTGAGACGACGTAAATTTCGTAATTCCCGCGGCGATGCCGCCGCTTCCGGCGTTCGACGCGAATAAATAACGCTCGTTCAGCCACGGAAAATGGTATTCTCCACCGGTAGAAACCACGTTACACCTGTCTCCTCGTCCTCTGCTTCTTCTCATTCACTCTTTTTCGCTTGAATATCTCTGCGCGAATAATCCGCGCATAATACGGAATGATAATACACGGTGATATTCGTGTAAATTTTCACGATGCAAGTTGCGATTTTCCAGTTTAACTGGAAAATTAATTAGGGATTAATTATTATGTTAAAAATCGTTTAAAAACAGTTTTTTTCCCCCCCTTATGTATTAGTCCGTCGATTAAAACGATGTGTGAAAAGTATGCGGATATTATTTTAATGTTTATTCTTTTTAACGAAGTATAGGGTTTATCGTTATCGAGTGATTAAAGACGATATATAAAAAGATAATATTATTAACGCGGTTGAACGGATTTTATTAAATTATTTTCCAATTTCCAAAGGCAGAACTTGGCACAATCGTGAAACAACCAATTAATAATCCGCTAATGAAATCTTTCAACCTGTACCCTGTTTCAATATAATAAATATTTTCCTTTTTTCCATTTTCCAATTTACCGTGTATGGAAACCAATCGTATCATAAGGCTGTCTCTGTCCAACGCTCGCCTCTGTTTTGCGAAACGAGGAAAGAAAGAAAGGAAGAGAAAGAAAGAAAGAGAGGGGAGAAAACAAAAAAAGCGGAGAGAGAAAAGTATAAAAATACGGAAAATGAAAAAACAAAAAAAAAAAATCAATTTTCAGCAGAACGCTCGAATCACGACTTGTAACATTTTTATCCTTTTTATCCTACGTATTCCTTTTTGCCTTTACATCCCCCAGATCCAGCCTCGTTTGAGCGTTGCAAGCCTCGATGCGCCCGCAAAACCGTTTATTCCATTTTTAACACGCCCCCAACCTATTTTTCTTTCTTCTTCCCTCTCCCCCTCTCTTTTCAAATATTCCAAAATCTTGTTTTTTCTCTGCCCTCTTCCCTTTATCCCCATCCGCGTTTATTTCGTTTCGAAAAATGATTTCACCTGTGCGAATTCGATCGTAGCTTTTGTTCCAGGCGAACGAGCAGGATACTTTGACGAGCGCGAGCCAGATTTTCAAGGAAAATCATTTCAACGGAATTGGCTTGGAGAAAGAGAAATATTAAAAAAAAAGGGGGAGGGGGGAAAGGGAAGGGGGAGAAATTCGATCCTTTTGACGCGCTCGTTAAGGCGTCCTCGTTGTGTTTTAGGTTTAATTCGCTTTTCCATCCCGTGTAATAGATTGATTCGTCGTTTTCAGCTCCTTTCTCTGCTTTTTTTCAACATTGAATGCCATTTGGAAGGGATGGAATTGATTGGATCGGTTTTTCTAATTGATTTGAACGATTGAGATTCGTGTGTTCGTTATACGATATATATATAGGGGTTGCCATCTTTTAATTAATAATTTTTGGCACTTATTCGTACATTATAGAGAAACATTTTCATTTGCCAAGAGTGATTAAGTTGGAAGATCTAATTTTCGATTCTATTTCTTCTCAAAGGGATATTTTATTTCGATTTACGGTAAATAATTTCTTTAATACAAAAGGATTTATACGTGTTGAAAATGTGTGAGTGGAGATCAAAGAATTGCTTTTCAAATAGTAGATTAAGAAATATATATATCCCTTTCTTGATTTCTTTAACGTATTAATAAAAATAATAAAATGAGAAATGTTTACTGGGAAAAGAGGCGAAGAAAACATGATAAAACGTAAACACCAAGCCGTGTAGAATTATTAACACTTGGTAACGGGGTATTTCTGATAAGGAAAGAAAAAATTACGGCTGATTATAGTTGTTCACTGTGATCAGAGAGATAGAGGCCTAGGAACCGGTACAATTGATTGCTCTGGGACGATGCAATGGTGCAATGATAAAATAAAGCGACGGTAATAAGGATGTAAAATAATTACAGTCCCACTTTCTATTCTATTTCGTTCGATCTTTCTCTCTATTAATTCTTCTCTCTATTACGATGTATGTAAAAACGTACCGAGTTTTGCTTTCCAACTTGTTGTTGATTAATGACACTGATGATCAGAAAATGCAGATTAACGTGTAAAAATTTAAAGTAAAACTATTAGAAGGATCAAAAGATACGTATGAAAACTTTTTCTTGCGCGTATAAAAATAAAAATAAATATAAATTGGATCGTTACAATGTTAATTATTGTTGTGCCATTTATGTTATAATTATTAATTGCGACGATAATATTAACCATGGATTCGTATATTTACGTGTACATTGAAAAAGCAAAGGACGGTAATTTTATACATTTTTCACAGCAAAATAATAAAAGATGTAATGCTATAGTAGCGATATTTGATCTTTATGCGGTTTTATGTGATCAAGGCTAAAGTTGTTGCACAATAGGACAAACTACAGTTTTCTTTAATAATAATTCTTACCTTATTATTTTATTCGGAATACGAAAGGTTTTGAAGAGATTTCCTCTCTTCAAATTTTAATTTCTTTCACTTCTTACTTGGAACAATTTTTATTACATTACCCGGACACGCAGTTTAACTTTATTTAACTCCTTTATCCAATACAAGCGATGCGGAATTGCTGAGAGAAAAATGGCGCAAATCGAGACGCGTTATCAAAGATATATCCACGAAATTCGTAAAAAGATCGATCGTTGGCTCGCAGCAGATAGCGAGGCCTGATTGCGATTGCGTGAGGACGGGAAACAAATCAGTGGCGGTGGTCGAAAATCGCGCGATAAATTCGGGTTATAAAGCTGTTCCCCCTCCCCTCGCTTTTTACGATCCCCGCAATTTCCACGTTCTCGCGTATTCGTTGTACGTTTTCCCTCAATTTTCCGATTTTTCCGTGTGTTCCAATGGAATTTCGGGATTAAAAAAATATGGATGAGGATGCTTCGATGGGTTTTTTCCTTCTTTCGATCGATATTAAAAGTAAAATTTATTAAAACAGTTTTTTGTGAATGATTAATTGTACATGTAATGTATTATTAAAGAATCTGAAAAACTTCGGACGCAGTAGCAAGTTTTCAAATGGTATACTCAGATAGTGGAAAATATACGTTGTGTTGTGTGCGGTGTAACGAGGACATAATTCATTGTCGGTGATAACGCGACTAGTGGCAAAATCTTTGCGGCAAAGAAGAAGTTGTACTAAAAGTTATCGTTCAAAATTTATTCTCTGTTGTTTGTACAAATTAATTTATTAAGAAGGAACGAATCAAAGGATGATTATTTATTTATTAATCAGAAAAATACGTTCCTATTTGGATACACCTATACCAATAGGAATAAAATATAATTTCTCCCTGAATTTATTCTCTCTTAGATTTATCTTCCGTCCAATCGAAGCATAGCCCTCGGCCAGCCTCATGAAAGTTTTATTTCCGCTCACCGACTATGTTACTGACCACTAAGTTTTCACAGTTTATAGATTTACACTTCATTGAATTCCACCACGTACAACGAAACGTGGAAAATAGATATTTTCTTTTTCTTCGATCAATTTTTCAATAATATAATAATAACAACAATATCTCGTGGCAATATTTCTGTACTATTGCGCAACCACTTCCTCGACCGAGTACAATCAATTTTCGCGGAAGCGCCGTGTAAAAATGCGGTCCGCTTATCGAGCAGAGGAAGGCGAGGAGGGAGGAAGGGAGCGTGCAACAGCTGAAACGATAAGGCATTATGTACGCAAGTGACACATCGCGTCACGTGTCTTCCTTAAAATATTCATAACGTTCTAACATACCGTGAACTTATTTCTGTTTCAGGTAAGTGTAGCACGCAAAACCCGTTATATCTATAAGCTGTCCACGGTCACGTGTACGGTAAGAGCCCTCTAATTAACCTACTGTCCGATTAACCTCTATTAATCCCATATTTTAGGTATCGTTACATTATCATTCGGAATCACAATTCGAAATTTTAACAATTTCGTGTATAATAATTTTTGTGAAAATGTACATGACGTCTTTCCACGTCTCCTTCTTTCGAAGATGTTTCAGAGATTTCGAATTCTTATTTTTAAATGAAGTCTCGTTTAGGAGAGAATCGAACTCGAAACTCTTCGAAACGAATCGTGGAAGGAAATGTATTAGAATAAGATTCGTAAGTTAAGCGATCACGGGGATGCACGAATGAAAAGGGAGGAATTCGTGTCACGAATCTCTTGTGAAAAAGAAACGTTCCTTTTTCGGGAACGATTGTTCTTCTCTGGAAAAATTCTGGAATGTATAGAACAGCAATACGATATCGATTTTCCAGTCCATCGAATCTGTAACTCGATCGAACAGTTATTCAAAATTCGTTCGATTTAATAAATCTAGATGTTCGTCGAGTGATGGAGGAGGGATTTGATGGCCTGTCGTTACACACGAAAGATTTTCTCTCGTTTGTCGTGAATTTTTGGTAGGAAGCCAAAATACCATGCCTAGATAGGACCTCTTAATAGAAAGTTTAATTTCCGTGGCTCGTTGTCTTTCCAATTAGATCCTTGTCCACGATGTTAACGTGATCATCAATCTGAGAGTTTTTCTCATATATTCTTTTCACCTTTTCAATCGTGAAATGTGAAAAGGAAATTGTGTTGTGATTAAGATAATTATACACGAAAAGGAATAAAATGGAATAAAATCAAGTTTTCTATGTTACGTCTTTTGATTCGAGATAATGTCCCACGAATGCGTCAACACTCTGTATACATCGTTGATATAGAATACTTATAAAAGTGGAATTTGCGATGGAGCAATTAAATGTCATGGAACGAGTTATTTTATTATACGAGAGCATAGGATTATCTCTCTTTATCGATAAATACAAGTTTGTTAAACAAACTCCTAGTCCATATCGAGGGCGGAGAAAAATTCCTGTCCCATCCACGCTAAGATCTTTTGACGTCGTGGTGTCAATTTCCACGAAAGCTTGTCAAACCTACGCATTTACGGATATCGGATATCGCATCCTCGCACGCGCGCACCGCCTATAAATCTATCCGGATCCGCTCGAAACTCGATCATTCTTGCATCTTAGAAACGATATTGATGAAAAATTAAAATGGAGGAAGTGAAAATATACGTGAAACAATTGCGCGAAATTTTTACACACGATATAATTTCATCTCATTGGAAAAGATAATTAAAGAAATATGTATAAAAAGAAACGATGAAATATTCAAGATAGAATATGCATTGGATATTCGAGTATTAAGCGAAGATAGTTTATTTTATTCCAATAGTGATTGAACCTTTGGTAATAATAATAAAAAAAAAATACATTTTTCTCTAATATTTCGAAATATTAATCGGGATAATTGGTATCAATATAACAATTATCGTTTATAAGGCGTACGTTTCTACGCCAAATAAATTAATTCCTTTTTATTTTCACCTCCTCCGATTTTCGTTCCAGTTCCGGGGGAATGAAAAATAAACAATTTTCTTCGATACCGGTATCAGGAAACGATATGTATACGAATTCTCATCACATTGAATTGCAAATTTATTTCCTCTTAATGAAAAGACAAGAAAAATTGAATCGGCGTAATTTCATCCCGAAATAATTAACGAAAAACGATTCACGATCGGATGTGATCAGGCTCCATATTCTTTTCTACGTGCAAACAGAACTTAAGAATCGCTCGATCGATCGATCGATCGATAGTTGAAAAATCTATTCGATTGATTATCGAATTCAGCTCGATTCCTTTTCCTTAATTAATTTCCTCGCGCCTCTTTGCCTCGACTTTTAATTATTCAATTCCGTTATAATAACGATTATCCCAAAAAAATATTAAAATACCAGCAACCTCCTCTTTGCGAAACAGGATTGCAAACTGTTGCACGAGACCCCTTTTGAAAAACAAGAATAACGCAATAACAAAAGCAAAGAACAATGCCGCAACCACCGTAGCGGCCGCAACCGAGAGAAAAATCCGGCTCGACTCGAAATCGTCCCGATTCCCTTCCCTTTGTGCCCGATAATCGCGCGCAAACAGCGGCGCGCAACCCCTTTGCGCTTCCGAGTCAGCGTGTAATGGGATAGTGTCGATCGGCGGAGCGTGTAACGCGATCAGTGTGCACGCGGCTTTATGCCGATCCACGGAAATTCGAACGGATAAACGTGCTCGTCCCCGTCGTGTACCATATACACGATTGTACTCGTATATCGTCCACCGATATAAATATACGCGCATCGAACAAACGCTTCCTCTTGAATCTTGATCGATTAATCGTTAACCACTTTCGCTACTACGGCCGATTATAAACTTTGCACGAGATGCCGTATGACGAGTATCTTTCTGTGGAAACGTAGCATTCGATATTTTGTTTCTCTCGTCAATTTTCTCGAATTGCAAACGATCTTTCGTTGTGCACACAGAAGTCGATCGTAGCGAAAAGGTTAAGAGGAGGGTTGTATTTAAATTCGAGAGATAATTCGGGGAAAGGGAAGCGATGGACAAAGGAAGGGGATTTTGATCGAGCATAGGAATCCTTTGCTTTCTGCGTGTTCCAAACGGTGGACGAGGTGAACGAAAGTAATTACCGGGAACAATTCGATCCTGTCGTTGCCCGGCGCCGTTTACCTTCCGGCGTCTGCCGCTGATTAAATTGCCCGCCTCTCGTTTCGTTTCATTTTCCCACTATCCGTGAATGTGGGGATTTAATCCTCGCGAATGCACGAGAATTAGTGCGAGTTTTCGTGCGTTTGGCCATTTGTTTGTTTGGTTCTATTTTTTTCTTCGTTACGTCTTGCGGAGGAAATTTATACCTCGACTCGATAATCGTAATTTTGATAATCGAGATTTTGAGTAGCGCATAATGGAGCAATCGTTACGATGGGCGAATAAAACTTTCACTTCCTGAAAATAATCATGCTCGATATTTCGGTAAATAAT